TATGTGTAAGATTAAATGATTGCCAAGATCCTTTACAGCTCTAGATTACTATGATTATACCTAAGACAGAAAAGGTCATGTGTATGTCTTTATTTAAACATTTGAACTTTGTCTCATTCCCCCCGCCCAAGGCTAGAAAAAATTATCAAATTGGAAAAGGTGTGGAGATAAACAGTGTAAGAAATTGAGACATATATCTCATTAACAGTATTTATTTGAGGGGCATATTTTGAGTATGTTTGGCCCATTGTACATGTGCCTTTCAGCCTTTCTCAAATGAATGCGTTTATCTGTTGAAGTAGACACAGTAGTTCACATATTCTCCCAAGGAACAGTGGCTTTGTCTCCATTAAAATAGTAGTTTTGACTGTGAAAGTTGATTGGTTTCAGTGAAGGTAGCAGAACAGATTAGGTTCTCAATGAAGATAGCAAAACAGATTAGTCTTTGTGGTGACACCTACACCTATGGGCAAACTTGGCTACAAACCAAGTGTCCCAGGATGTCTTCTTAAATAGCTAATAAATAAAATTTTACTGAAAGCATTTTCTTTCATTAAATTCTTCATTACAACTATAGTGTAGTCTTACAAAAAGTGTTTCTATTTCATAATTTTGGGAATAATTACGTAACACAAGTACTTTGGTATTATTGAAGTATAGAAATTAGTCTTTGAGGTATACTCCCATTTGGTAAAGTTGGAGAATACTGATGGATGCTTTTCGTGTAAAATAAGAATAATGTAGTAAATGTCTCATTTTTTGAAGAGTTTAAGTTGGTTGTGATTTTTCATTAAAGTAAATGTACAAAAGTATAATTTTTATGTTTTTAATTCAGTAGCTAAGAATTTAGATAGTACAAACTCTTCTGATTACAACAGAGCTTAATTGCCTAATTATATTGTTAAGTTCTTCTCGTTTCAGTCAAACTCAGCGAAGTCCCCATGTGTTTTATCGCCATGACTTAATCAATCAACTTCAACACAATCATGCCCTAGTTACTTTGGTAGCAGAAAACCTTGCAACATACATGGAAAGCATGAGACTGTATGCTAGAGGTATGTATTGTAAGCTTAAATGAACTATGGGAAATAACAGTGACTCTTTTTGCATTAATTATCTTAGAAATATAAACCATGTTCCTTTATGGGTTTAAGATCTACTATTACTCCCAACTCTTAGACAACCTAAACCGTAGGCCAGCATTTTAAGGCTCTTCACTAAGTGCTTGCCTTCTCGTATTCTCCTTGTTAAGTAAATTTTTCTTCCCTGCCTTGGAAACTCTGCCTGCCTTTATTACAATTGATTGCTATCTTCTTAGGAATATACTTGACTCATTTTCAACCTTTATGTCCTTTACCTCCACCCTTAGCTTTTTAAAAGGAAACTTGTTTTGTCTAAATCTGTTCTTACATTATAATCCTTTTATAATCCCAAGCCTGTGTTTTGTAAGTGCTTCAAGACTTCATGAATTTAACAATCATAAGAGTAGAGATGGGAGGCTGGCTATAAGAATCTAGATGTTTACATTGGCATTCAAAGTGTGAAATTGTTTGAACATGTTTAGGATAAAGTTTCCTATGATTTCAACAGACCCTGATTTTAAGTGCCTGCCATATGTGGAGCCCTGTGTCAGTGCTCTTTTGCCCTCTGACAGTTGTATCAATCTGTGTGTGTAAGAGTAGGGATGGCTTCTCAGTATATTCCTCCTCTGTCTTGTGACAAGTTCATGCCCCCTTCCCTATTGATACTTCGTAGTTTGAAGTTTGTTTCCAGAGCAATATATAAGAAAATACTGTATTACCAATGTTAATGATAGTGTTAAGCATACTGATTACTCAACGTACCATTCATTTCATATGTTCTGTATGATCTGTAGAAGCCTATAGTATGTTAAAAATGAGAATATTTATAATACTCATTATTTGAGGAGTAGACTTGACATTGTTGAATAAAATCCCCTGGTGCTTATGAATTAACAGATTTTTGCTTAATACTTACGTACATTTCCCAATAAAATTGAGATAAACATAAAAATTAAGCAACTCTTCTGACATTCTCAGTGATAGTGTTGACTGTGTTCTTCCATTTATCCCCTCGGGGCCAATAGATTGTAGAGCTATACAGTACAAGCAATGTAAGTGTTAGGCAGCTGATAAGCAACAGGCAGTGATCTTAGCATTTCAGTCCTCGGTTCCTTCTAAGCAGTATAATAGAACAATCAAGGCAATACAGACATATAGCCACGTGATTTATGTTCTATGCCAAAAGCACTCAAAATCAGTGATATAAACGAGGTTTACGTGTAGTATACCCAAGCATTTGGGTCTAGTATAATATAACTCAGACTTTTTGTTTTGATTATAATCTCTTCCTGGTGGTACAAAGCCCTCATGGTTGCCAAGGAGGGCTCTCCAGAGTGGAGCCATGTAGTTGTCATGTGCTTTAATGCTAATTTTTGTTTACTTCATTTGCATGTGGTGTTTAGTTTCATTGTCAGAAGTTGGGGACCCTACTGTCTCACTAGGGTTTTCTGCTACATTTTAATACAATTGTACTTGAGTTACTGCCTCATTTCAGCGCTGTCACAGGAATGATTACATTCTTCAGTTTCCCCTCCTTATGTTGTCTGTATACCTGCAAACCAAGAGAGGTGAGTCTGCATAGTCAGATTGCCTAGGTCTGAAACATGACCCAAACATTAGCTGTATGACCATGGGCAGGTTATTTATGCTAGAATAATGTCTGGCGTGTAGTAGATTGCCCTCTGAATTTATTAACATCATACCTTGTCTTTCTTCCAACCTTGGTACCTTCTCCTCCCAATTTATTACACTACTCTTGATTAATACTGACGAGTCTGCAGATACTTAAATATGGGGGTGGGGGGAAATAATATGTAAAACTAGTAGAATTCTATTAAAATAAACTTTTTACAATGTTAAGTCACTTCTGTGGTAACGTCATCCAGTAACATTTCTGAACTTGCAATTCTAAAGTAAATCGTGAGGTTTGCCTCTGTATAAAAGTGTTGGATGAATCCCATTAGATATGAGGCATATTACTTGGCAAGATAACATCAGGCTTCCACAGTTCACTGATGTTCTCAATTTCTGATAACCATTTTACCAATGGTTTGTCCTGCCTGTATTTTATTTTCACTAGCATCTTTAGCTTTGAAGGGAAAAGCATTTCCTCAGTAAGCATGATCAGCTGATTTTTACCTCCTATAAACATTTAGGTAAAAGAATGAACTTAGTAAAATTCTTTACAGTATTTATTCATGTTCTCATTACAAGTGCTTTCATACACTGGTGCTTACACAAATCATTCTTTAAAAGTTTTTCAAATGCATACAGTAAAGTATAAACTACCTTTTCGTTTTCATTCAAGTTTTAACTCATTGGTAGAATAGTCATTGTACTGACTTCACTACTTATTGAAAGTTTAATTAACCATTTTTTCTTGTTTCTGAATAGAGTCGGATAACACAACTTCACTGTAGGTCAGATTTTTGCACTCCGTTTACTTAGGACTGCCACTTTCTGTTACTTCTTCCCAGTCTTTTCCATCCAACAGTGACAGTTTTTAGGAACGTTTTCCACAGAAAAAGATTTCTTTATGAGTGTCATTCATCAACACTGCTCTGTTAGGATGCAAATCCTGTGCTAGATTTTCGTAATTCGGACTCATTCCTACACATCAACCATGAAGTACTATTAAGTCTGTGTGGCTTCTTTGTGGTTTAAAAATAATTGGGTATTACCCATTTTGTGAACAATTTATACCTTCCTGGAGAAATGGCTGTTTCAAGGCCTGCAGCAGGGAAAGTACAACATGATCCTTGATCATCCTATTCCAGAAAGTAGGAAAGTGCTCAACAATTATGTTGACATGTCAAAAGGACACAGGATTTGGGCTTTCACTCGCCATAATTAAGTCAAAAATTAGTAATGAAAATAAAATAGGAAAATACTAATACAAACAAAAATGCCAACTACCAGATGTAAAGTATATGATGAAAATAAACCCAAGGGGGTGAGGATTTTCATGTCTGGAATGACAGAGTAAAATGCTCAGCAGACCTTAACAAAACAACCATTTAATTGGAGAAAAATTAAAAAAAAATAGTCATTTAAAGTACCTGAAAATTGTCCTAAGGGAGTATAGCAAATGGGGGGAAACACTCAAGAAAATCTGTTGTCAGAAAAACAGCCAGAGTCTGTAGCATTTGAGCCACAACTTATTCTCTTCTCCCCATGCTCAGATACAACTTTCTTGTGTGGAAACTCCACTCTAGGCAGGTGTATCTAAGAATCAGGGGCTCCCCATGGCTGCCAGTCTAGGGCTATAGTTTGACCACACGAGGTGGAGTCTGCTGGCATTTCTCATCCTTTTAAGTAGTATGTGGCAGAAGCTTTGTTCCAGGCAGTCATGTCCAAGAAAACAGACTCCTTTACCCCACTCAGTGCCTACTTGTAATGCAAATGCTTTACTTAATGCATAACAGGCTGAGAATACCGGGACTCTGATTATCTCCAACCTAGCTTGCTCACAGGGTGGAAATTATATGTCAGGGAGTGCAATCTGAGAAAATCAGAGAGTTTGATCCCACCCCTCAACACCGGCAGCATTTCTTAAGGCAGGAGTATGTTGGGAGCAGTTATCTGCTGTCCTGCCTTCATCTCCTGCATAGTTGTATAGATGTTCTGGCCAGATGGAGAGAGAAGATGTGAGGATGCTGTGCTCAGTAGTTCTGCTTGAAGGGACCAACTTTCTTTGGACCAGACCATGCCATGCCTAAGGGTATTATCACAAATGGAGTTTTGGGTGAAGAAGAATTAAGAGAGTGCTTGTGGCTCCCTTGTCATGGTATCAGCAAGTCACACAGATGAGCAACCAGAAGTTTAACAGAAAGATCTAGATAAAGAGCCAAGACAAACCCTCTTGTGATCACAGTTAACCTTGGGGGTCAAGAATGCTATGTGTACACATTAGGCTGCACTTAAACGCAGAAACAATTAGAGCTGGACATGGGACAAATTGAAAACATCCCCCAAGCTGCATGTTGATCCATCAGCAAAGGGTGAAAGCTTCACCAACACAGTGGACTTAAATACATCTTTGACCAAACAGAGCACTGGATGAATAATAAGCTACCCTGACTCGGGTAACTCTTCGGAAGCCAGACGTGAAAATTACATGTATCCCTGGCAGTATGGAAGACTGTGTACATATTCAAGACTGCATCTTTGCCGGAGTGATTGAGAAGGGATCATACAAGCTACTAGTCTCTGACTGAACATAGGACAAAAACATAAACTTTTTGAGTGGTGTGATAGTGGCCTCTAAGCCACACAGACATCCAGTGGCAAAGGGTAAAAATCTACTAGTCAAGGAGGCTTAAATACACTGTTTGGCCAATAAGGGGCTTATACTAACCCAGGAGCAATTCCTAGATAGGCAGGCTAAAGAATTAAGAGAAGGGGGAAAACATCTGGGCAGACCTATTGGAGGATATACACTGTGAGGGAAATAGACTTCATAGACTTAGCCTAGTCACTAAACAAGCAAGCAAATGAGTGGGGGAAGGGAAATCAGTCTTCAGGTTGTTGCAGTATATCCAATTCCAGATTTTGTTCACAAAAATTGAGGCATGCAAACAAATGGGAAGATTTGACCTGTAGACTGACACAAAAACTACCTTTGGAGGAGACCAGATGGAGGGCTTTGTTAGACTTGACAGCAAAGACTTGAATTAGGAATATGCTCCTAGAACTGAAGAAAACCATGTCTAAAGAATTTTTAAAAGTATGATGACAATATCTAATCTAAATTGGATAGTAAAGAGAAATTTCATTTTTAAAATCATGTAGAAATTTTGTATTTGAAAAGTATAACCAAAATGAAATATTCATAAGAGGGGCTAAACAATAGATTTGAGTTGGGAGAAGAATGAATCAGTAAACTTGAAGATAGATTAGTGGAAATTATGCAATCTAGCCAGGCATGGTGGCTCACGCCTGTAATCCCAGTATGTTGGGAGGCCAAGGTGGGCAGATCACAAGGTCAGGAGATTGAGACCATCCTGGCTAACATGGTGAAACCCCATCTCTGCTAAAAATACAAAAAATTAG